GAATGAATACACCTCATCCATTGGAATTGGAGTTTTTCATTCAGGAATTGAAGTATATGGCAGAGGTACGTGCACACACAGTCTAAAATGTACTTTATACTTTCTGAAATGTTTTTCCTTTAAAGAAGTAGCAAAATCGTAACGACAGCTCTTTCTTTTTTTTTTTTAAACCACTTCTCTACATTATTGCAGAAAGTAGAAAATTTCCCCATATTTGTTCATACTGTATTTTGGAAAAATGCCAGAAGTTGAATGCTTTTGGAGAGAAAGTACTCAAAGTACACAAGTATCCATTCATTTAGTTATCTTATATTGTGAATGCTACTTCTTAAAAAGTATTTTCCTTTTGAGATTGCTAAACCATGACAGCTCTGCTCTAATAAATATTGGAGTTCCTAAGAAACCATGCACTTTGGAAACTAGTATGAGAACAGTTATTTGGATTGAAAGAGAATTGATGCTAGAGAGTATCAAACTTGAAATACCAATTTCCTGAGGGAATTTCAGTAACAAATTTACTTTTGTAAACGTGCAATGTACAGTTATAAAGTTTAAAGACATCACTGAGCAAACCCTGCCCTTGATTACATCTAGCTTTTGTGCTCAAGAATGATGGCCTTTGTCTTTACTCAGCCCTTTTTATTCTTTATTACCCTTTTTATGATAAACATGACAGGAGCCACTCAAACCAAGCAACTGTTTTCAACAGCTTTTTCCTTTCTTCTAATTTCCACTTTCGGGGTAGAATAATTTACTCCTGATCAAGTTGTAAGCAGCAATGATCTGCATAAATCAGATCATGTTGCCAATTTCATCAGGGTTGTGTAATAGTTTGAATAAAAAACTCACCCTATAGCAGAAACACCTTCACTTGTTCAGCTTGGCAGTCTTCCTGACTTCTTAGAATATGTTACTGCAGTTTACACAGTTATCCGGAAGACAGCATAGCAGCTATAGCTATAGCAAAGAAAAGGCTCATTTACTTAAATGTGTCAGTATGGTGTTTTTACTGTCCCTTTTTTATATTCCACATAAGCTGCTTCTAGAAGTAGTGTAGCATATTAAATGTTGGCTGTAAAGATCTGCTGTTTAAGCTCCATTTTACTTGAAAGGCTGCATCTGCCAAATAATCCCAAAAAACAATGAGGCTTTCAGTGAAAGTTTCAGTGGTTGTAGTATTGCTGTGGGTGGAATCAAGGGTTTGCTCCTTTCCTTGGTTGGGCTCTTGCCAAAATTGTGTTTTTTCTTTTTAACTGAATTGGCATGGTATGTTAGTTTTTCAAGTGCCGTCAGGTTTTGAACCATATCACCATGCTGCTGTGAGGTAGGTAAGGGCGTGTGGCATTTTCTCCACTTTTCAGATGAAGAAAGCAAAGCTCAAACCTGCTGAAAGTCACACTGCTAATAATTAGCAGAAGTAAGACTTGAACCCAAGTGTTCTTAATACTAGCCCATTGCTCTTTTAACTGCCTAATTATAGCTCCCCTTCATAAAATAATTTAGGATTAATTAGAAACATGGTTCAAAACATAGACATGTAAGCTTAGCAAAGCTAGGGCCATACATATTCCTAAAAGTGACAGTGCTTCTTGAAAATAGGTGAATGATGGCTCTGTAACTTTCCTTACTTAATATAATTGAGAAACTTAAAAATCCAAACATAATCTTTCCATCTCCAGCCTGGTTATCCACAATGTTTTATAAAACTCTTACCATAAAAAAAATTTTAATGTATATTTCAAAACTGAGTGCTAAACACTTTGTTTCTTACCTATATCATTGCCTTTTTCCTGAAAGGTCTGAATCAAAAGTAAACTTAGTACCTGCCTTGTTCTTTCCCAGACCTATTAAGATTATATTTAATAAATTTTATATTCTAGGATTAACTTAAACATTTGTTTGAAATTCTTTCAGTGCACTAAGTATCTAGTGTCAGAATTATAGCCAGAAATTTTAGTTCCTTCTTCATTTGAAACAACCATTCTCAATTCTGTACTGGATGAGAGTTTGTATCTGATGAGCCTAGATATACATTCATTGTAACACAAGTAGTTCCCTCCTAGCTAAAAAAGACTTGTTGTGGAGAGTGTGTGTCTTTGACTGAATTGCAAGGCTATGGCAGCTTATTTTTTCTTGAATGAGGGAATTAGATTCAGTTTTTCATACTTGCAAATGTTTCACTCTTATTAAAAAATAAACCAACAGTCTTCAACCCAAGAACAGTGAAAACTCATTGTTACTGGATAGTTTTTCCAGCAAAGTACAATTTTGAAATTTCTTACTTTAATTTAGAAAGTAGCAAAACACTGAACTAACCACCTGCTTAGTTTAACACAATAGGTTGAGAAACCGTAGTCACTTTATGAGTTGGTCACTCTTTTACCAATATAAACAAAATCAGCATAGAAGTCAGGATCACCTTTGAGTGTCATTCATGATTAGAGTTTCAGATCTTCTGCATTAGCTCTTCTGTACAAGTAATAGTTGAATGAGGTGTTTGTGAAAGCATTAATAAACCGAAAAATATTTAGATGGTATTATTATCCTCATCATTTATTAAAGCTAATTCAGCATTCTGGTTAAATTTTATGTGATAAATACTAAAAATCATGAGTTTTCTCTTTTCAGAATTTGCTTATGGTGGCCATCCTTATCCCTTTTCTGGAATATTTGAAATTTCCCCAGGAAATGCTTCTGAACTAGGAGAAACATTTAAATTTAAGTAAGTAGGGAGGACAATTTTTATTACACTGCCTTAGGTGCCAAAGCTTGTTTTCAGCCATACAGAATTCATTCTGTAGATTAAAATCTAGGAAGTTAAAATGTTTCTTTAACGTTGTTTTAGTTGTTGACACTTTATTTTAAAATCATATCTATCTAAACTGTTGTGTGAAGATGGGAACTGGCCAGATAAAGTGCCTGAAATAACCAAGTCTATTGCTTTACTCAGAATCCATGTAAGTTATTCTACTTTAAAAATGTTTTTACTTTGGTATAACTCAGATCCTATTTTAGAAAATATGTTCATATCTAATGATTGCTTCCCTTCAATCTCCTATTTAGGGAGCAATGGAAGAAAGTTTTATGACCTACCTAACACTATGAAAAATCTCCTCATTTTTGCAAAGAAAGGGATGCTTGCTAAATTTGAAATAACTATATAGTTGATTGCCTCAGAAACTGCTGTCAAGGTTACATGTATTACGTGTGTTGATAAACCTAAAATGTGTGTGTGAGAGTAATCTGGAACTTTATGAGTAGGAAATCAAATTTCCATTTCTTAATTAAGGTTTGTATTTCAAGTGATATTTAGAACCTTAGTTTCAAGGAGAAACTTAAGGAAACCTCTGGGCCTCTAATAGCTCACTTGCAAGTGAGAAAGAGAGTGAAATGACGTTATAACATTAAAATTCAGTGAAGGGCTACACAATTTTATAACTGCTAAGTTCATGGTTCTCTTAGCCTATCACTGATTTCAAATATTTACCCACAGGAGTGTGTAATGTCATCCTGAATCTATTCATTGGGTCTCCCTTTTCACAAAACTACTAGATAAAAGGGTTTTCTAAGTATTTTCAGCTTTCTTAGATGCCTAACTTATATTTGATTAAAAGTCTGCTTTCTATTAAATAATGTCTATTTGTACATCCAGGGTAGTAGTTTGGGGATAGGGGTTTATTGGCTTTGCAGCTGGGGTAGAGGGGGTTACAGTTGATGATGCTTTAAAGAAATCTAATCCTTAGACAGTATCTCACTGCAACAAATAGCATATAACTTAGACCATTATTGCTAAGTGAGCATGTGGCCAACAATTAGATGGCAAGTATAACTAAGCAGGAATATTTGTGGCATAGGTCTGGTCCTCTAATGCTGTAGCTACTTATACAATAGTTGTAAAATAACTGTGATATTTCATTTTTAATATAATGACATCGTTTCATAAAGAAAATTACTTCTTTTGCATTTGTATTATTCAGATGTAGTATACTACTTCTGAAGCACTTATTGCAGAAAAGTAGAAATTAAAATAGCTGAAATTGTACAAGTATCTCATTTACCTTTTAGCCTTACAACATAAACCCTGCTTTATTATTTTGTTACCTCAGTCATAATATTCCTGGAAATAAGCAAGTCTTTAAACATGCTTTTTATAAATACCTAAAACTCACACAGCTGTGTTTTTATTTTTTTTCTTTTTGTTCTTTAAGAGAAGCTGTTGTTTTAGGGAGCACTGACTTCCTAGAAGATGATATAGAAAAAATTGTAGAAGAGCTGGGAAAAGAATACAAAGGGAATGCCTATCATTTGATGCATAAAAACTGCAATCACTTTTCTTCAGCTTTATCAGAGGTAATTTAAATTTTATCCTAAAAATTCTTCAACTAAATAACATTTACAAGTATACTCACTGTTCTTCTGTATTTGGTTCATTTTTTTCTGAGTCTTCATGTTGTACAAGTATGGTATTATATTTCTTTCCTTTGTATGAATGACCTTGCGAAAGTTGGTGACTTTCAAGTCTGTGCAGGTTTAAATTTTAAGTCTATTCCCAACTTGGCAGTGGGTAGAGAGTGAGTACAAATAAATGTCTTTTTTTATTCTAATTCATTTTATTACAACCTGAAATTTTCACTTTAAAGAAATTAATGCCTCAGCAACTTCTGCTTCTTAGCCACTAAGATTCCTCTTTTCCTAAATTTTAATTGCCCAACTTGAGGTTTTTTCCTGGCTCTTACTTATTAATAAGTAATTCATTTCCCCTGTCTTGAAATTTTATCCTGCCAGTTTATCACAGTCACTTAACTCACTTTTGCAATTCTTGAATCCCAGGCAGAAGATTAAAACTAAATCAAAATTACAGGACCTTAAAAAAGAAAATGGAGGGAAGAAATTAAAAGACCTAAACTAAGGCCTAGGGAATTAAATAGTACTAGAAGCAGCATCCCAGCTTTCTGACTTTTTGCAGCTGGTCACAGGAGCAGCCTCAGTAGTACTACAGAAGTTGGGAAGAAAGGGAAGGAGAAAATGAGCTACATTTCAGCAACCCTCTCTGCACACGCTGAGCAACCTGGTTCTGTGCCTTCCCTTGTGGCCTCCACAGCACAGCTTTCCGACTGGACTGCTGCACAGTGTTGTTGTGTTTCTCAGAGTGTGTTTTGAGGATCAGCAGCATCCTCAAGATTTTGTGAGATGTGCGTAATTTCTGCCCCGCCACAGATGTACTGAATCAGAACCCTCATTTTAATGTGATCCCCCAGATGATTTTTATGAACATAGTTGTTGGAGAAGCACTGCCACTTTTGTGAATCATGGATACCAAGAGGTAACCATAGAAAAAACACTGGTTTTCAGAGACCAGGGACTGTGGTGCAGAGCTGCCTTGACCCCAGATCACAGTTGTAGGGAATGCATTCAGAGATCCATAGAACGTTAAAATTGGCAGATACTGCCTGGCCTCTAAACCACTTCCCTCATGCTACGGTGAGGAAGCAGGCCCCACTAGAGAAATGACTTGGAGAACTCAGATTAGGTCCCTGACTACTTAGTCTGGTGCTGGTTATACTGTATTATTACTTACTCTGATATTGATTCATTCTCTCTGTCAAAACTCTTTTGAGCCTTTGTAACATCACCTGTACCCTTTCTAACCCTGAAACCATGTTACAGTTGAGTGCCCAAAGAGCAATTCTGAGTATTATTTGAGCACCTTTTTAGATAACAGTTTTCATGCTTTCCCTGGTATAAGTGCTGAATTTTAGTTAGAGACTGACACTCAAGTGTTAGATGACTTAGCCAAGGCCACCAGCTTATCAGTGACAGAGCTGAGACTAGAGTTCTGGATAGTGAGGGATATAGGAGCTATTTTAATCAACTCCATGTAATCACAGCAAACTCATTTAATTGGTCACACACTCTAATAACATTAAGAAACCTCATGTGCCTTTACATTCTTGACAACATATTTTGGAGATGTGTGTCATATAACCAGTTACAGACAGACAAAATCATAGCTAATTATAACTGATTGTTGATACATGCACTCCATTGTTCAGTACTGTTCCAAAAATTCTGAGAATTATCATTATTTAACATCATAGTTGTCAATTTGGATGTTTCCTCTACAACAAGGATTAGCAAACCACTGTAATCTGTGTGAAACACCAGCCCACCAACACTTTTTTGTATGGGCTGTAAGCTAATGGTGGCTTTTACATTTTTTAATGATTGAAAAAAGTTAAAAGAAATTTATATAGTGACATATAAATTATATGAAATTCAAATTTTGATATCCATAAAATTTGATTGGAACATAGCCATGCCCTGCTTGTTACCTATCATCTTGACTGCAGTGACAAAATTCAGCATTCATTTGTGATAAAAAACTCTCAACAAAGTGGGCATAGGGGGAATGTACCTCAACACAATAAAGCCCATATATGACAAGCCCATAGCTAACATCATACTCAACAGTGAAATGCTGAGAGCTTTTCCTCTAAAATCAGGTATATTATAAGGTTGCCCAGTCTTACCACTTTATTCAACCTAGTATTCAAAGTCCTATACAGAGAAATTTGGCAAGAAAAAAGAAATAAAAGGTATACAAATTGGAAGGCAAGAAGTAAAAATTGTATTTGCAGATGACATATATAGAGAACCATAAGGACTCCACCAAAAAAAATGTTAGAACAAATACATTAATTCGGTAAAGATGTTGTAACATCAATGTACAAAACTCTGTTGCATTTTTATATACTAACAATGAGCAATCAGAGAAATTAAGAAAACAGTCCCATTTACAATTGCATTTAAAAGAATAAAATACCTGGGAATGAATTTAACCAAGTAGGTGAAAGACCTGTACACTGAAAACCATAAGACTTTGATGAAATAAATTGAAGAAGACACAAATAAATGGATTAACTCAAAATGGATTAAAGACCTGAAAGAGACCATAAAACTCCAGGAGAAAACATAGGCAATAAACTTCTTGACACCCATGTTGGTCATGATTTTTGGATCTATTAAGAACCAAGGTGACAAAAGCAAAAATTAACAATTGGAACTATGTCAGACTAAAAGGCTTTTGTACAGCAAAGGAAACCATCAACAAAATGAAAAAGTAGCCAGCTGAATGGGAAAAAATATTTTCAAACCATATATTCAATAAGGGATTAATATCCAAAATACATAAAGAACTCATGCAGCTCAGTAAACAAAAAACAATCCCATTTAAAAATGGACAGAAGATCTAAATAAACATTTTTCCAAAGAAGAAATACAGATGCCAACAGACACACGAAAATGACTAATCATCAGGTAGATGAAAATCAAAACTATAATGAGATGTCACCCTATACCTGTCAGAATGATCACAGAAAAATAAGAAGTGGTGGTAAGGATGTGGAGAGAGAATAGGGAACCCTTGTGCACTCTGTGTGGGAATGTGAATTCATGCAGCCACTGTGGAAAACAGTATGGAGGTTCCTTAAAAAATTAAAACTAGAACTAGCACATAAGCCAGTAATTCCATTACTGGGTATCTATCCAGAGGAAACAAAACACTGACTCAAAAAGATATCCACACTCCTGTGTTCATTGTAGCATTATTTACAGTAGTCATACATGGGAAAACATAACCACCCATCAGTGGATGAGTGGATAAAGATGTGGTATGTGTGTTTATACAATGGACTACTACTCAGCCATATAAAAGAATGGAATCTTAACCATTTGTGACAACATGGTTGGATCTTGAGGACATTATGCTCAGTGAAATAGGTCAGAGACAAATACTACATCATCTCACTGATTAATGAAATTTAAAAAAACCCAGACTCAGATACAGAGAACAAATTGGTGGTTGCCAAAAGGAAGGGGAATTGGGAGTGGGTGAAATGAGCAAAGAGGGTCAAAAGATACAAACTTCAGTTATGAAATAAGTCTTGAGGTGTAATGTACAGCATGGTGAGTATAGTTGGTAATATTGCAATGCATATTTGAAAATTGCTAAGAGCAAATCTTAAAAGCTCTCATCACAGGAAAAGAAAAAGCATTCTAACTCTTGGTAACTAAACTAATTGTCATTATTTTGCAGTGTATATAAATAATTGAATTATGTTGTATACCTAAAACTAATACAATGTTAAATGTCACCTATACCTCACTGAAAATAAATCAGTCAAAATATTTGATGTGTTTAGTTCAGTGCAGTTACTGTTGTCCCCTCTTTGATCAGTGGAAGCCTCATAAGTTTGGCTCCTGAGTCTTCACGTATGACCCAAATAATCTTGGATAGCCATTTTGTGTTTTGGTATGACAATATTATTCCAGGCTCATCACTTATATTTTCTACCTCAGAGCTGTTTCCTTCTAATAGGAAATACTTACAGACCTTAATACAGGCATTAGTGTTGCTCATCACTACTGAATCAGTGATAGATTCTAGATTTTTTTTCCAGTAAACAAAACTAGGACTTTATAGGTTCATAGTAATAATTCTGCTTCAAATTCAGGTTCAGGGTTTTTACTTGACTTCATCAATAGCATAGCCAGATCTTCTCTATCCTAAATAACAAAATCCCAATTCTTAGCAACAACATACTTATTTGTTTTATCTCTTTTTACCTAGATCAGCCTTTTAATAATAATCCCATTTAAAAACGGGCAGAGGGTTTTTCTATCAGTGATGTGATTACTATCAGTGATGTGATTACTACAGTGCTGAAGTGAAGGGTTTGGCAATTCTGTCTATAGACTTGCTCAGTAGGAATACTAGTCACTTTTTCAGATAATTGGAATAATGTCTGTGTAATTATACCACCAACTCAGTACAGTTATAGTCCTTTGTTTCATTTACACTTTTCTGGTGGGGGGTGCTTTTTTTGTTTTAATTCTGTGTTGAAGGATATCTATATGTATTCAGATAAAAATGATTGGGAGGCAGAGGTGCCGGAAGGACAGTGGCGCCCAGTGTTGTCTGTAGAAAGGAGAAGGGTGATGAAGAACAAGTTGGTATTGTGAAAGACCCAGTTTTTACCACTTGAAATAGGGAAAAAGAGGTGGGGCTCGAGAGTCCCAAGGGCAGGATGAAGATGGGGAGTGGGCGAATAGATGCAGCAGCTTGGCAGGGAAGGACTCCTGGCCCAGTTTCCACCTCTGCTTCCCCAGTAGAGTCTTCCCCAGTGAAGCTCAGCCAGGCTTCCACTCCTGTGATGGGAGTCACAAAGCCAGGGCTGCATCTGTGGAGATATTTCTTTCATGACCAATAGGAACTCCTTGGAAAAAGTGGGTCAAGGACAAAAATAAAGGGGTAAAGTATGGGCCAGGAAAAATGGAGTGATAGAGACTGGAGGAAAGCAGAAAAGAATCTGAGAAGAATTCAGGTCGAAAATTACCCAAGATTGACCGCTTCCTGGAGGGTCTGTTACTCTAATGATATCTCGGTTAACAAGAGTCTTCAGTAGTATTATTCAAAGTACTTTCACAGGAGTGTCAGTATAGTTGCAAAGATCTAAGAAAGGAGCCAGATGGAACCAGCTTGATTGTGCAGACATAAAAAGTAAGCACCTGGACAAGGTTTTTCAGAAAGGCAGGAACGGAGCTGACAGTAGGGACCCTGGGCTCCTGAGGTGGGAGCTGCTTTTTGTCAAAGGCCAGAGTGCAGTGGCCTCTCTGCCCATCAGCCCTCATCCCCTGCCCTCACTCTCTGGTGTGGACCCAACACCCTTCACTTCTCCTACCTAATACAACACTCTGTCCTCTAGATTCTTTGTGGGAAAGAGATTCCTCGCTGGATCAATCGGCTTGCCTACTTCAGCTCCTGTATACCCTTTCTACAGAGTTGCCTCCCAAAGGAGTGGCTAACCCCCGCGGCCCTGCAGTCCAGCGTCAGCCAGGAGCTCCAGGATGAACTAGAGGAGGCAGAGGACGCAGCGGCGTCTGCTTCCATGGCGAGCACTACAGCAGGCCCCAGACCTGGGCGCCACACTAAGCTATAAGTGTCCAAAGTCATACCTTCAGAACTGTCTCTGCCGGTTGACTATCACTAGAGAAAAGTAAAAGATGAACGTCCTTGGATATTTTGTACGCAAAGATGGCTCTCCCCCACTTCCCAGTTTTTCAGCTCAGGATTATATTTGTAATAAAAAAAATCATGTGGCATAGGAGGGAGGACTTTGTGTGAAGCTGCCCTCTGTTTTTTATCCACTTGTAAATTTGGATTTACTTCTGTTTTATACAAGCTCTGTTAAGTTATGTTTACAGTATTTTGTAAAGCTGTTTACAGATCTTGCATGGAGTCCTGCCACCATGAAGGAAGAAAATCTTCATGTCTTTGTATACTTCTGATGGTTGCCAGAGCTCCGGCATAAACAACAGGCACACAGGAAGGTACTTACAGTCAGCTGCTTAGGAACTGCCTTGTGGATCTGTGTTGTTTTTTGTTCCCATTGTAGCCCTAGATGCAGAGGTGAAGGAGCACAGTCAGCTGGGGGCTTGGACCTTGTCTGTGGGAGAGGTGGCCTCAGCCTAATCTTCCTAGCCTCGCTCCACTCTGAAAGCACATCTCCCAAGAATCCCATCCAGTGGTTGCTTTCATCCCAAATATATGTCCACTGAGGCAGGGCGGCCATTCTTGTGTCTGTCTGGCTTTGATTCCTCTGTTTCTGTAACTACAATGGTTTTCATTAGAGATATTCTTGCTGGTAACTGATGAATGTTTTGCACACATGTTGGGGTTTACTTTGATGTGAATAAATAGACGCTTCCCCTGAGCACTGTTGATGGTGCAGGAATCTCCAAAGTGGCAGCCTTCTGAGTAGCAGTGTGACTGGACATCTCAGTTGCTGTCAACTATTCAGGCTCTCTTCCCTGCTAGACCTTGAAAACCAGATTCTAAAGTAACACTCTCTGAAAACTTGATTCTCTGATGCCTCCCACATTCATGCACCTTGTCCAGGAGTATGTTGGGGTTTGTTTGTTGTTCTGAGAGTAGATTCCTCTCATAATAGGAAGCCTAGTCTCATTGACTCTTGTGGAAAAATCCTATCTGTGTGTCTTAACAGTTCCTCTTTTTGTTCTCCCAAATGTGTGTCTCTTACATAATATACTCTAACAGAGGAGTCCTCACCCCAGGGAAGTCCTTGTGGCAAAGAGTATCCATCCTAGTGCACTCTTTTTTTTTTATTAAGGTATTATTGATATACACTCATATGAAGGTTTCACATGGAAAAACAATGTGGTTACTACATTTATCCATATTATCAAGGCCCCACCCATACTCTAATGCAGTCACTGTCCATCAGTGTAGTAAGATGCCACAGATTCACTATTTGCCTTCTCTGTGCTAGTTTTCCCCGTGATCCCCACACCATGTATATAAACATAATAACCCTCAATCCCCATCTCCCTCCCTCCTGACATGCCCTCCCACATCCCACCCCTTTGGTAACCACAAGTCCCTTCTTGGAATCTGTGAGTCTGCTGCTATTTTGTTCCTTCAGTTTTGCTTCGTTGTTATGCTCCACAAATGAAGGAAATCATTTGGGACTTGTCTTTCTCCACCTGGCTTATTTCACTGAGCATAATATCCTTCAGCTCCATCCATGTTGTTGCAAATGATAGGATTTCTTTCTTTCTTATGGCTGAAGAGTATTCCATTGTGTATATGTACCACCTCTTTATCCATTCATCTACTGATGGACACTTAGGTTGCTTCCATATCTTGGCTATTGTAAATAGTGCTGCGATGAACATAGGGGTACATATGTCTTTTTGAGTCTCAGAAGTTGTATTCTTTGGGTAAATTCCAAGGAGTGGTATTCCCAGATCAAATGGTATTTCTCTTTTTAGTTTTTTGAGGAACCTCCATACTGCTTTCCACAATAGTTGAACCAGCTTACATTCCCACCAGCAGTGTAGGAGGGTTCCCCTTTCTCTGCATCCTTGCCAGCCTTTGTCATTCTTAGTCTTTTCTATGCTGGCCTTCTTTACTGGTGTGAGGTGATATCTCATTGTGGTTTTAATTTGCATTTCCCTGATGATTATTGATGTGGAGCATCTTTTCATGTGTCTGTTGGCTATCTGAATTTCTTCCTTGGAGAATTATCTCTTCATATCCGCTGCCCATTTTTTAATTGAGTTATTTGCTTTTTGGGTGTTCAGGCATGTGAGTTCTTTATATATTTTAGATGTTAACCCCTTGTCGGATATGTCATTTACAAATATATTTTCTCATATTGTAGGATGGCTTTTTGTTCTGTTGATGGTGTCCTTTGCCATACAGAAACTTTTTAGTTTGATGTAGTCCCATATGTTCATTTGCTTTTGTTTCCCTTGCTCAAGGAGATGCGTTCAGGAAGAAGTTCATGCTTATATTCAGGGGATTTTTGCCTATGTTGTCTTCTAGGACTTTTATGGTTTCATGACTTATATCAAGGTCTTTGATCCATTTCAAGTTTACTTTTGTATATGGGGTTAGACAGTGATCCAGTTTCATTCTCTTGCATGTAGCAGTACAGTTTTGCCAACACCAGCTGTTGAAGAGACTGTCATTTCCCCATTGTATGTCCATGGCTCCTTTATTGAATATTAATTGACCATATATGTTTGGGTTAATGTCTGGAGTCTCTAATCTGTTCCACTGGTCTGTGGCTCTGTTCTTGTGCCAGTACCAAATTGTGCTGATTACTATGGCTTTGTAGTAGAGCTTGAAGTTGGGGAGTGAGTCCCCCCCCCACTTTATTCTTCTTTCAGGATTGCTTTGGCTATTTGGGGTCTTTGGTGTTTCCATATGAATTTTTGAACTATTTGTTCCAGTTCATTGAAAAATGTTGTTGGTAATTTGATAGGGATTACATCAAATCTGTATATTGCTTTGGGCAGGATGGCCATTTCAACTATATTAATTCTTCCTAGCCAAGAGCATGGGATGAGTTTCCATTTGTTAGTGTCCTCTTTATTTCTCTTAAGAGTGTCTTATAGTTTTCAGGGTATAGGTATAGGTCTTTCACTTCCTTGGTTAGGTTTATTCCTAGGTATTTTATTCTTTTTGATGCAACTGTGAACTGAATTGTTTTCCTGATTTCTCTTTCTGCTAGATCATCATTAGTGTATAGGAATGCCATGGATTTCTGTGTGTTAATTTTGTATCCTGCAACTTTGCTGAATTCAGATATTAGATCTAGTAGTTTTGGAGTGGATTCTTTAGTGTTTTTTATGTACAATATCGTGTTATCTGCAAACAGGAACAGTATAAATAACTTCTTCCTTGCCAATCTGGATGCCTTTTATTTCTTTGTGTTGTCAGATTGCTGTGGCTAGGACCTCCAGTACTATGTTGAATAGAAGTGGGGAAACAGGGCATCCTTGTCTGGTTCCTGATCTTAAAGGAAAAGCTTTCAGCTTCTCGGTGTTAGGTATAATATTGGCTGTGGGTTCGTCATATATGGCCTTTATTGTGTTGAGGTACTTGCCCTCTATACCCATTTTGTTGAGAGTTTTTATTATGAATGAATGTTGAATTTTGTCAGATTCTTTTTCAGCATCCATGGAGATGATCCTGTGGTTTTTGTCCTTCTTTTTGCTGATATAGTGGATGATGATGGATTTTTGAATGTTGTACCATCCTTGCTTCCCTGGAATGAATCCTACTTGATCATGATGGATGAACTTTTTGATGTATTTTTTAATTTGGTTTGCTAATATTTTGCTATTTTTGCATCTACGTTCATGAGGGATATTGGTCTGTGATTTTCTTTTTTTCTGGTTTCTTTGCCTGGTTTGGTGTGAGAGTGATGCAGGCCTCACAGAATGAGTTTGGAAGTATTCCTTCTTCTACTCTTTGGAAAACTTTAAGGAGGATGGTTACTAGTTCTTCACTAAATGTTAAAATTCAGCAGTGAAGCCATCTGGTCCAGGACTTTTCTTAGGTAGGTTTTTGATTACCAGTTCAATTTCCTTGTTGGTGATTCATCTGTTCAGATTTTCTGTTTCTTTCTGGGTCAGCCTTGGAAGGTTGTATTTTTCTAGAAAGTTGTCCATTTCTTCTAGGTTATCCAGTTTGTTAGCATATAATTTTTCATAGTATTCTCTAATAATTCTTTGTATTTCTGTGGTGTCTGTCATGATTTTTCCTTTTTCATTTCTGATTCTGTTTATACATGTAGACTCTCTTTTTCTTGGTAAGTCTGGCTAGGGGTTTATCTATTTTTTTTATTTTCTCAAAAAACTGCTCTTGCTTTCATTGATTCTTTCTGTTTTTTTATTCTACTCAATTTTATTTACTTCTGCTCTAATCTTTATTATATCCCTCCTTCTACTGACTTTGGGCCTCATTTGTTCTTCTTTTTCTAGTTTCGTTAATTGTAAGTTTAGAGTGTTTATATGGGATTCTTCTTTCCTGATGGAGGCCTGTATTGCAATCTACTTTCCTCTCAGCACAGCCTTCTCTGCATCCCACTGATTTTGCGGTGTTGAATTATTGTTGTCATTTTTCTCCATATATTGCTGGATCTCTGTTTTTATTTGGTCATTGATCCATTGGTTATTTAGGAGCATGTTGTAAAGCCTCCATGTGTTTGTGAGATTTTTCATTTTCTTTGCGTAATTTATTTCTAGTTTCATACCTTTGTGGTCTGAGAAAGTGGTTGGTACAATTTCAATCTTTTTGAATTTACTGAGGCTCTTTTTGTGGCCTAGTATATATATGATCTATTCTTGAAAATGTTCCATGTGCTCTTGAGAAGAATGTGTATCCTGCTGCTTTTGGGTGTAGAGTTCTGTAGATGACTGTCAGGTCCATCTGTTCTAATGTGTTGTTCAGTGCCTCTGTGTCCTTACTTATTTTCTGTCTAGTTGATCTGTCCTTCATAGTAAGTGGAGTGTTGAAGTCTCCTAGAATGACTGCATTGCATTCTATTTCCCCTTTTAATTCTGTTAGTATTTGTTTCACATATGTAGGTGCTCCTGTGTTGGGTACATAGATATTTATAATGGTTATGTCTTCTTGTTGGATTGACCCTTTTGTCATTATGTAATGTCCTTCTTTGTCTCTTGTGACTTTCTTTGTTTTGAAGTCTATTTTGTCTGATACACATACTGCAACTCCTGCTTTTGTCACCCTATTAGTTGCATGAAATATCTTTTTCCATCCCGTCACTTTT